ATACTGCTTTGGTTTCCTCTACTGAGGATCTCTCACCACTTTTGGAATATGAGAGGAAAGGGCTGAGCATTTGCAGCTGACTACAGCCCATGGGTGAGTGGCTTGTTATTCAGAGGAGTGGCTTGCTGCCCCAGAGCCTTGTCAGAGCCACTTGTACTGGTATAGCTTGGCTTCATGCCCACTAGTGTGATTTGCCCCATTCGCTGCCTCTGAGGTCTCTTCCCATTAAAGAAAGTTTCTGTACTGTTTTTCTTTGCTGTTTACCTTCCTTATCTTGCTGTGATCCAGGTAAAACTCCTGAAATTTAAGAAGGCTTCTGTGTTACGGGATTTTAGAAACTAGAGATGTTACTTTGAAGCATGCCCAGTGCCAGCATGGGGAGGCAGAAATTAACCTGAGTAGTAATGGTAGGGCTGGTTGGCAAGCTGTTGTTGGGAAAAGAGCTCATTGTCTTTTGAGAGACTAGACATGGCTTTGAAACTCTTGAATGTGGGTAGTACAGGAAGACAGGCAGCTTTTGCTGAAATTGCCACATGTGAGGAATCATGGGCTACTAGTCTAATATTTGAGAAGTGTGTTAAGTGGTACTTGTGACTTGCTCTCCAGTCTACAACAAATACATCCCCAACCTCTGGGAAGGGCACTCTGTTGCTGCCTTTCATGGTGAAAGCGTCTTGGGAATTGCGTTTCCTCAGGTTTGGTTTGGTGAGGAATGAGCAGCATCAGAGGTTCTGTCCAGAATTCTTTGGCCTACCTCATAGCTTCGGGATACTTCAGCCCTTTGTAATGGTGGTACAGGGTAGAGACCAGGTGGCATGCAGGCGTGTATGCACGTATTCATTCATACGTTCCTTCAGTATTAGCAGATGTTTGTAGTACATAATGATTACATTCATCATGGGGAAATGGTATAGACATATAATATATCCCAATTTTTTTTCTTTTTTTCCATCCTCTTTGCCTTAGTTATTTTTAAAAATACCCACAAAATAAAGGAGGAAAGGTTTATTTTAGCTCACAGTTTGTAGAGGTTTCAGTCCAGAGTTGTCTGGCTTTAAGGCAGGGTGGTGTGACAAAAGGGCATGGCAGAGGAGTCCATGGCAGGGCAGGCAGAAAGCAACTAAGCAGTGAGCCTTCCTTTCCCTTTTTATTCCAGTTAGACTGCAGCCCTATTGGCTGGTGTCACCCTAATCCAAGGTGGGCAGTCTGTCTTCAGTAAATCCATTCAGCCACATCAGAACTATGATAATCAGAGGATCAATCTAGTTATCACATACCCGTGATCCAGTCACTTTGACTCTAGTCAAAAGCCCCATCTGGAGTACATAAAGCTTTGGAAGATATTTTAGATATAAAACACTCATCCTCCGCTTTATTCCCCCTGGCGACCAGGCTTTTAGTTTATTTTTCATCCTGTATCAGTGTGCTTAAGATGGTGAATATTAAATATTCAAATACAACACTCTCTGGTAGCACTTTCTACAATAGCAGAAATGTTATGAACTGTCCAATACAGTGACCACGAGTCATGTGTGACCATTGATTACTGGAAATATGGCTAGTATAACCAAAGAACTGCATTTCCGTTTTTTTTTTTCCTTGTTTGCTTTTCTCCTCTTTTTTGGCAATATTGGGGCTTCACACATGATAGGCAAGTACTCTGCTGCTGCCTTTGTCCCCCTTTTGGGTATGATTCCACTTATACAAAGTTCATAAATAAGCAAAACTAAACTATTGTGATAGATAAACTATTGTAAGCAGACCAGTGTTTTCCTGGGGCTGGGAAACGATTAGAGAGGGGAGACTGACAATAGGTAAGGAAGAACTTTATAGGGTGACGTACATGTCCCAAACCTTGCTTACAGTGATGCACAGTTTCTCAAAACATATCAACCTCTGTCTTTAACGTTTATGCACTTTATTGTGAATGAATTATATCTCCATTAATTTGATGAAAAGAAGCTGTTTTATGTTTAAATATCAACATTGTTAGCTTTTAGAAAGGCATGGTATTTTTAGAAAACCAATTGATATTTAATGCTAGGATATGCACATGCAGCCAACTCTGTTTAGCTCAGCATATGATGAAAAGAAGGTTCATTCTCTAACACACAGTCTAAATAGCAAGGGAAGAGCCGGATGTGGTGGCATACCAGCACTCAGGAGGCTGAGGCAGGAGGATCATTGTGAGCTCAAGGCCAGCCTGAACTGCATAGCAAGACCCTGTCATTCATTCATTCATTCATAAATAAATAAATACATACATACATACATACATATATACATACATATATACATACATACAAGAGAAAGAGAACCCAAATAGGCTGTTTGAGACTTATCTTTGCCAGGTCTGGATCTGATTTTCATTAATACTTAAGCAAGAGAGATTGAAAACTAATATTATAGCAAAAATGGATAGTATATGTAGTTTCTTGATTAATAATTTGTTTTCTTTATGACATGCCAACCCTTTTTATTTTATTATTTTATTATTAATTTTTTAATTTTTGAACTTGCTAAATTGCCCAGGCTTGCCTGAAACTTGAGTTCCTCCTGCCTCAGCCTTCTGAGGTATAGCTAGTATTATAGGCCTGTACCACCATGATCAAACCTGGGTTGGGTTTCTTATGTTTTCAATTTTAGTGAATCAGTATTTTAAATTTAACTAACCTATTATGATTAGTAATTTTATAATTGGACAGTACAGCACTGATAAACCAGTGATTTGTTTGGACCTGGTCCTGTTCCCTCATGAAGTTAGTCTGTCTCTGTACTGTCACACCATTCTATATAAGAGCATCAAACCCCATCCCATTAGCTAAACAATATTTTCTGTGTGTGTAAAAACTCTTGTTGGCTGAGTGATGGGATGCTTTCAAATACTCTGTTTTGAAGTATGGATATTCCTTGGTTGCCAACAGGGTTATGTCCTAGTAAGCTCATCACTAAATTGAAAATGTCACGTTGAAAGTATGTTTAATAAACCTAACCTATAGGCCATACTACCTTAGCAACCCAGTGTGCTGTAGGGAGTTGTTTCCCTTCCCAGTCTTGTGGCTGCCTGGAAGCTGTGGCTCTGCTGGTGCCCAGCATCATGAGATAGGATCATTCTGTGTATTAGCAGCTTGGAAAAATGTCAAAATTCAAAATTTGAGGAACAGTTTTATACCATCACAAAGTCAAAAAATTAGGCCGGATGTGGTGACACATGCCTGTAGTCCAGCACTCAGGAGGCTGAGAAAGGAGGATCATTTGAGCCCAGCAGTTTGAGGCCAGCCTGGGCAACATAGTGAGACCCCCGTCTCAAAAAACATTTGCAAAGCTGTTTATTAAAAATACAGAATTTGAAAAAAAAATACAGAATTTGGAGGGGCCAAGGGTATAGTTTAATATACTGTGCCTGCTTGGCACGCAGAAGACCTAGGTTTGATTCCTAGTACTGCAAATAAAATGATTGAAAAGTAAGAGCAATCTTAAGTTGAGCCATTATAAGTCAGTAACCCTCTGAAGTAACACAGACCAGTGTACACACTTTGACCGGCAGGACAGATGCCGCAGAGCAGATTGAGTCTGAGCCTTCTCTGCACTTCCACACAGTGCTTAAGCTGGTTTCTTGTGCTTTCCAAATTTATACGGATTAATAGACTTTTAATTTTTTTTATCTTTCATGATCTGTAAAATTCCTTTTTTACTGCACAGTGGAGGGAGATCCTGGGAGAGGAAGAGGGAAGAAGGTGTCTCTGAGACCTTAGCTCTGTGACCCAGCCCTGTCTGACTGGGAAGTAGATGTCAGATAAAAAAGCCCATTATTATCTTACTAGGAAAACATTTTGGTAATTACCTACATTTATTTGGCTTTTGATTTTTAAAATATTTTTATTTCTGTGATCTTTATTTTTATCTTTGTAAGGTTGTTTTAGAGTTGGGAAGTTTCTCAGCACATTACAGTACTGCAGCATATGAAAAGAGAACACTGATTATCATAGAGGTATGCTGTGAGTTCCTGTTATCTCTGAGAGGAGGGAACTGAGGTAGGCAGAAGAATGGGGTCAGGTTATAAAGACCTTTGTGACCTCTCATTCAAGCCTCGCTTGCTGTATATTTCATTGTGCTGCTCTCTCCATGTGGCTTCAGACACTCTACTGGAAGTTAGGCCTGATGCACTTGAGAGCTTGCAGGGTTAGCTGTACTCAAGACCCCAGAGATGGGCTTGGTGGTATACCGTGAATCACAAGCCGAGCCCAGTCTGGGACTTCAACAATTTAGCGAGATCCTGTTTCAAAATTAAAAATATTGGAAAAAAAAAAGCCGGGGATATAGGTCAGTATGAAGGCCTTGTCTTCAATTCCAAGTACCTCTTCGTGAGGGCTCTGGAAATGTGTCAAAGCTCTTAGTGAGGGCTCTGGAAATGTGTCAAGGATAAGGAATCTTAAAACCAATGGCTCTCAAAAAAAACAAAAAAACAAAAAAACAATGAAACAAAACCAAGAAACAAAAAACTAATGGTTCTTAAGGCATCAAATGGTTCGTATTCTGAAGTTCCAGTTGTGTCTGAAAGGAGGCAGTACTTGACACACATAAATGCTTTCTTGCTTTTTAAGCTCAACTTGTTTATTTGAAAAGATGGTAAGACTATTTGAACTAAAACTTTGAATGAGAGACACTGTAATGTCATGTATAACTTTGGTGAGGGGACAGGTCCCTCTGCTTTCAGTGTGCATAGAATGTCAAATGCAACCGTGTTACTTTGTACCACACAAACTCCCTCTTCTAACTGTAAAGATATTTAAGAGTCATTTGGTCAACTTGAGCTTCTGATGTTCTGTTCTGGACATGAGTCCTGGTTCCTAGTTGCTATCCTGCTGGCATCACTGGTTCAGTAGGAAGGATCAGATAGTGGATTGGTGGCCTCTTGTCCTCACTACCCATCTGTCCTGTGTGCCCCCACTGCCCCCAGCTTTCTGGAACAGGTCACTGTATCGTCCTTTCTCTTCAAGGAGCCGACGGTGGTGGGTCATCGTCTGGAAACGTGTCTGGGGTTGCCTCTGCTGGAGGCTCACGCTCTTCGTCCCGGAACATTGGGTCTTCAGGGGCTGAGAAGGAAGAAGGCAAAAAGGTCCGGCGGCAGTGGGAGTCATGGAGCACGGAGGACAAAAACACTTTCTTCGAGGGACTGTATGAGGTGAGTGAGTTGTGGAGGTAAGAAAGGGTGGACAGAGGGTTTCCCCACACTCTGGCTTCTGCACAGCTCACTTTGTCTGGGCAGCTTTGCCTCCCTTTGCCACATGGCTTAGAGATAAGCAGCGAGCCCTGAGGTGGCTAAAGTAGGTGTGGTCCCGTGGTAGGCCTTGGCATTTTATGCTACTTTCGCTTTTTTCTATGGTTTTTAGCCATTGTCTTACCCACAGTCTGTGTGTGTGTGCACACACACGCATGTTACTGGTATTGAACTCAGGTCCTTCTCTCTGGAGTTAGCCTTTTCATGTTTTATTTTGAGACAGGATCTCCCTAAGTTGCCCACACCAGGCTTGAATTTAAATCATTTTGTTTCAGTTTTTCAAGTAGCTAAAGTTGTGGTGTGTGCCACCACACCTGCATTTTTCATGGTGTTTCATAGTTCCTTTGCTCATTTTTTGTAAATGCCTGTAAATATTGTACTTTAGATACAGATGAACTGGCCTATGTATATACTGCCAATCTTTATAAATAAAGTTTTATTGGAGCACAGCCATTCTTCTGTGTGCTGTCTGTAGCTGTTTTTGGTCGTGTGACAGAGTTTAGTAGTTACAGCAGATACTGAGTGTCCCTCAACTCTGACCAATTCCTGTAGTACCTAACCATTCTTGGATTTTGGCTTACTGAGGTTCCTTCCAGATTCTGTTGTTATGAATAATGCTACGGTGAACAACTTTGTGTACATTCCTTATTTTAGATGATTTCTTTGGCACATAAGATTAGGAATACGTTACTAGAACAACAGCCTTGTCATTTTAATAGCTAATTCACTGGAGTGATGGGAAAGTCTTGGCAAGCATGGGAAACAGAATCTCTATAAAGGAATGAAGCTTTGGAATTTAAACCATGAAGTGTTTACAGAAGGATTAGAAAAGGAGACACTTCTAAATGTGAGCACCAGATTTGATTTTGCCATATTCCCATGGCTGGTATTGCTCCCTCCTGGGGCCAAATGTCTAAGATTTGCCTATCCCCGCTGGACAGGACTGGTGTTATCAGCATGGTTTGACTCTTGTTGTCCTTAGAAAGAATGAAATGTGCACATGAGGCTTGTTTTGATAGATGCAAAATCATCCAGATAAATACAAAAGTGTTTTAAGAGTTGTATAATAAAGTATAGAGGTTGCCTTTGTATAGGGATTATCCCCACATTATACCTTTGATAAATTACTTGTTGGGCATAGAAGATTTGTGATTCCTGCTTTGTTATCAAAACCTGCAGTTATTTATTTGTTTATCTGTTTATTTATTTATTTAGGCAGGGCCTTGGTGTGTAGTCCAGGCTGGCCTTGAACACTTTTGTAGCCTGGGCTAGCCTCAAACCTGTAGTGATCCTACCTCAGCTCCCCAAGTGCTGAGGTAACAGACCTAGCTAAAAGCCAGTTATTGCCCAGTCTCACCTGAATCCATCACTACTATGGTGTGGCCCTTTCTTCCCAGGAAGACTGTGAGCTCTGTGAGGTCCACCAGTCTGGATGCAGAAAGTAGAGTATGAGATGTGGTTGACTAAAAGTAGGGAAAGGATTCCTTGTTGCAACCTACCCTTTGCTCTTCCCCAGCCCTTTAAAACTTTTTATTTTGACTTGGTGTGGTGACACACACCTGTAATCCCAGCACTTGGGAGGCTGAAGCAGGAGGATTACTGCAAGTTCAAGGCCAACCTGTGCTACAAAGTGAATTCAAAGCCAACCTGAACTTCATAGGGAGACCCTGTCTCAAAAAGACAGAAATAAGGGCCAGGGATATAGCTCAGCAGCACAGCGCCTGCCTGGCAAGCACAAGGTCTTGAGTTTGATTCCTGATACCCTTCCCCACAAATAAAGACAAAAATAAAATAAAACTTTTATTTTGAGACAGGATTTTGCTAAGTTGCCCAGAATGGTCTTGAACTTATGATCCTAGCTGGGAGTGGTGGTGCATGCCTGTAATCCCAGCACTCAGGAGGCTGAGGCAGGAGGATCACTGAGAGTTCGAGACCAGCCTGGGCTACAAAGTGAGCTCAAGGCCAGCCTGAACTATATAACGAGACCCTGTCTCAAAAAGACAAAAAAAAAAGAACTTAGAATCCTCCTGCCTCACCCTTTCAGAGGACTTGGATAATAGACAGGTACTTGATTCCTTTTTTCTACCAGGCAGGAATTTGATACTAGATCTCCTCAAATCCTTGACTAGTAATAATTCTGTTTACTTAATGCTTTCTGCTATTGGTACTGTGTATCTCAAATAGTGTGTGTTTTTGTGAGAGTTTGAGCACAAGAGAGCAAGAGCAAGCACACATGCCTTATGTCTGTCATTTTATGTGTCTGACCAAGACTAGGTGGGACTCTGATGGGGTCTTAATGTGTCGCAGATCAGTGAGGGCAAGAATAGGACCCCATTTCTAGCTGTGGGATGATAGTGGGCACTCACAGGCCTCTGCTCTGAGGAACACTGTTTCTGTAATGTTTGTTAAGATTTTACTGCCCCTACAGCCTTTTTGGTGCTGGAGATCAAACTGAGGGTATTTACATGCTAAGCACATGCCTTACGCCGAGCTATATTCCAAGCCCCTTGCTGCCTCGTTGATGGTACATGTGTGTTCTACTTTTGCTCCCAGTGTTCCCAGACTAGCTCAGAGCAACACTAAGGACAAAAGAAATTGAATAACTGTTCTAAGCAAGAGGGCTGACTAGATGCAGGGACTCTGCACTTGTTTATCCTGGGCCTCAGTCGATGATTTCTCTCTTGCCTCAGACCCTCCAGAAAGGCCAGTGCTGCCCCAAACCTGCCCTCATTACGACAACCCTGGGCCCCAGTGCAGATTGGTCTCTTTAGTGATGGTCTGTCCAGACTCCCTTTCTGTGGCCAGGAATGTGTCCTGGTCCTATCGCTGGGAAAGAATAAGGTGGACAGGTGAGTGGGTTGAACACTTAGACAGACGTCACCCTAGACCTGCTCTTACTATCTGTCTCTTAGTGTCCTTCTGTTTCAACCGTGGCTCTGTAGAGTCTACCACTAAGTGTTTATTTCATTTCCCTTCTTAATATCTGCCCATCTGACCATCTGTATGTGTTTTCACCATGTGATTCTTGGTTACCTGCCTTACAGATTCCTGGCCAGACTCTTGTTATTATTTCTCACCTTAATGAAAATGGCTGATGGCTTTGTCTCTCCTGTGCTTTATAATAGGCTCCCTTCTCAGCTTCTTCCTGTGCCTTCCCAGTCTTCTGAAAGTGCCATGCAGAGGCATCTTTGGCTTTTTTGCCATATACATACTGAGAGTCTTTGTCTGTGACTTTGGATAGTGTTCTCTTAGTTCAAACTTAGGCTGTTTTTTGTTGTTGCCACCACCATTGATTGAGTTCATAACTAGTCAGAGGACAACATAGTGTCTTAGTTACTTTTCTGTCTTTGCTGCAACAAAATACCTGACGCCCAAAATTAAGGAAGGAAAAGTTTATTTCACTTAGTTTGTGGAGATTTCAGTCCATAATCGACTGGCTCGAGGGCAGGGTGACATAGCTGAGGTGCAACAGTTCAAGGTGGCAAAAGACAGCAAAAGCAGCAAGAGTAACAGGAAGGTGGGGAACAAGCCTCTTTTCCTCCCTTATATTGTAAGCAGGCTTCCTGACCCAGGAATGTGTAACACTCACATCATCTCCCTGCCTTCCTCTTCCACAGCCTCAGGTTGTTTACAAAGTGAGGACCCTGGTCCCCTGCTGAGTCGCTTAGTTAAACTTTTAAACTTCTCAAGTTGACACAGTCCACACTTACAATATCCTGGACCTTAATCAGCTACCCTAGGGCATGTCCTCTAAACTTCAAGATATAGAACTGCTGAGTTACTTGGTTAAACTTCTGAACTTCTCAAATTGACACGATGTATCAACCATTACACATAGTTATGCTGGAAATGCACAGAAGGTCTTGCCCATCGGGGGCTTATCATGTGTTGAGGGAAACATAACAGACCACACAAGGCTGACTGAGAAGGCATGTATTCAAGTGCTGCAGACACCAGTGGCAGTATAGTTTGAAATCACAGGTACAAAAGTCAGTTTACTTCCATTATGATCTCCACCTTAGGCAGAGGACAATCAGGAAGGGGATGACTTCTAAAGTTGGACACAGAAGAGAGGTGTTTCAGAACCAGCTTTGGCTCTTCATGGTTTATGTTTGGAATTTGGAATTTTTCTGCCTCAACCTCCCAAATAGCTGTAGTCTGCACTGCTCTATTATTTTTTTTTTTTGAAACAGTGAGCAAGCTCTAATTTTTTTAACTTTTCATTTCGGAGCTATTTCAGACTTAGGAAATGTCATAAAAAACAGTACAAAGAATTCCCAAGTGTCCTTCACCCTACTTCCTCAGTGTTACAGTGCCCACAGTATGACAAGCAAAATGAGGAAAAGAAACAGGGCGGGCACTGTTCACTCACTTTCAGGCCTTTTGCAGAGTTAGCAGGTGGACGTCCCACAGGCCCTGAGTTTTCTGCCACCTGGAATGCTTCCTCAGTCTCTTTTGTCTTCTAGGACTTTAACACTTTTCAGGATTCTCTGCCTGTTAGTCAGTGGAATGTCTCTCAGTTTGAATTCGTCTGAAGTATCCTCATGATTAAATTAGTGTCAAGAATTCCATGGCAGCGATGTGTCCTTTGTACATTCAGCCAGGAGGTGCATGATGAGGTCTGTATCAGTCTTAGTGATGCCCCCCTGGACCTCTGGGTTCAGGTGTTGACTGTGGGTCTATCTACTTCCAGCTCATTCTGCTTTTCTTTGAGACTGTAAATACCCTGCTTCTTATCATGCGTTCTTTAACTAGCTTTAGCAACCATGGCTGCGTCTTACCTGAAGTAATGATCACTGTGGAGTTTGCCAGTGATGACGTTGTTTCTATTGTTTATCTGTGTCTGCTGATTAGAAATCCTGTGCAAGTACCCTTTCTTCTCCCAGGCTGACATATTTATCAATTATTTCTTTAGATACATAAACTCAGTGGTTAGTTTATTCTGCAAATCATTATTCATGTCATTGTTGATTTTGTGGCCCATATGGATCTGGCTTTAGCCAGGGGGCCCTCTGTGACTGGCTCTTGTCACTCCTTGTGCAACTTTTGGCACCTCAAGGTGTTCTGCCCTTACCCGGTGTCTCCCCACCCCAGCCTTGGAATTAGCCATTTCTCTAAGGACCACTTTTTCCCCTTTGAAAAGTGATGTTTAGAAACCAAGATGTGGGGGATGGGGTGGCTGTTGCAACTGGCACCTTCCCAGTACTTTTTTTTGTTTTTTGGTCTTTTTAAGACAGAGTCTTACTATGCAGTTTAGGCTGGTCTTGAACTCACTTTGTAGCCCAACCTGACCTCAATTCACAATGATCTTCCTGCCTCAGCCTCCTGAGTGCTGGGATTACAGGTGTGTACCACCATGCCCAGCTCCCAGTACTTCTTTTTTTTTTTTTTTTTTTTTTGCTCCCAGTACTTCTTAAAAGGTGGTTTTGTGAGACTGTCACATAGATTTTCCTTATGGAAGTCCTAAAACAGTTTCATTCTTTTTTTTCATTTTAAAGAGAAAAGAACAAAAACAAATTTACAAATACAAAGACAAACAAATAGTTTCATTCTTAAAATCTAGTTGTGCTCAACTTTTGCATGGAGACACTCCAAAAATATCATCAGGTCATATTCAGTCATGTTCTCTTCCTAAGTATTCATATTGGCTATCCTTGTTTGAATGTGGAATATACTTTCTATGATCAAAGAAATGTGATGTTTGTGCAGAATTCCTTCCTATTTTAAGATACTGGGTGGCAGCACCCTGAGCTCTTGATTTGCATTGCCCTCGGTCAGCCAGTGCTGTTCTTACGGTGGTGTCTCCTGCAAGGTCTCTAAAGAGCTCCAGAGGTTAAGCTGATTGTCCGAGTGAGGTGTATGTTTCTCCTGCTCTAGGGCTGCTTTAATTTCTTGTGTGATGTTAAACAAAAATACCTGACATGAGCCAACTCCTGAAAATAGATTTGTTTCTCATATCTGGAGGTCAGGGCATCCAAGATCAAGATGCTACAGCTTTGATATCTGGTGAGGACTGCATTCTGCTTCCAAGATGGTGCCTTTTTTTTTTTTTTTTAAACATCCTTTTGAAGAGAGGAGCACTGTGCCTCCCATGTCGGAGGAAGAAGGGCAAGATTAATAAAAACTTCTAGCAGATAAGAGCCTTAATGCCATTCATGAGGGAGGAGTCTTCTCTTAATATCGCAATGACATCACCTGATTTGGAGGGAACACACTCAAACAAAAGCAGGGCCCTTGCCTCTTTGGCACCTGCAGGCTGTGATGTTCTATCCTTTAGTTCCTTTGTTGCTTTACCTATTTCCAACCTGAGATGCTAGGGCAGCAGAGTTGAAGATGATGCACAAGTAAGTGCAGTGCGGGGTAACCTGTAGCCCACCTGTCGCCTTTTCTTTTTTGCGCTGTGCACATATCATAGAGCAGTGATGGCAGACCTTTTAGAGCTTTCAGTGATAATAAACAGCTGGTTGTGGCATGAGTGCCATAGGTTCTCCACCACTGTCGTAGAGAAAGCTGCTTTGTTTCAGCCACTGTACTTTTTTGTGGTCTTTGTTTTCCAGCATGGGAAAGACTTTGAAGCAATTCAGAACAACATTGCTCTGAAGTACAAGAAGAAGGGCAAGCCTGCAAGCATGGTGAAGAACAAAGAGCAGGTCCGGCACTTCTACTACCGCACCTGGCACAAGATCACCAAGTACATTGACTTTGACAATGGTGAGTGTGCCACAGGCTGGGCCTCTGCTCAGGAGCATGCTTTCTGGCATTGCCTTTATGCAGCTGTTCACCTGGGATTTGCCTCCAGTACTTTGGCTGGTGCATGTCCAGTGCTGCTTGTTCAAACTTACCTGCAAGGAAGCTGCTTGCATCCATGCTCTAGTGATCTTACTGACACTCACCTGAGTTTTGTATATTTCCATGGCCCTGGGTGCCTGTGGGTTCTGTATCCCCTGTGAGAGGACAGTGAGGTCCAGTGAAGGGAAGTTGAGTTGCAGGTGCACTGGCAGGATAAGATTGGACCCCTCCTTTTTTGGCCTTTCCCTCTCATGTGGGAGCACACTGACGGTGTCGGTTGAGCAGCCAGATATGCTTCTGGCCCAGAAAGGCAGTCTTTGCCACAACTGACCATTTGTATTTGAATCCAAATTTGTGTGGTCCATCTTTAGTCATATGACTATGTCATCTCCAGGTACAGTGGGGTTTCCAACTCTGATCACCCTTGGCTGATCAGTGGTTTCTCCAGGGTCACTTGGCCCATGTTGTGTTGTACTGACTTTGTCTTTGTAAAGTATTGCCGTCTCCTGTCTCCACATGTTGGGAGAAGAGCCTTGCCCCATACTCTCTGAGTTCCCTCCTGCTTGGCCCTGCTGTACATTCCTGCAGTTTTACAACATTGGGCTCATTGTAGTCATTCCTTCCTTCTAACACCTACACTTATTGTTAACCCTTTTTCTCTCCAAATGTACCATCTGTGCCAGGGTAACTGGCTCAACTGTGACCATATTGCTCCACCTTTGAACCTTTGCTTGTGTCTGTGTGTTGGCCTTTGATGTCCCTCGTCTTCCCTTGCCGTTCCCGTGGTGTCCTCTGTGCTGGGTCACTGTTTCTTGACCATGGTGCGCATCACATTGTCATAGCTTTATTTTATTTATTTATTTATTTATTTATTTATTTATTTGTGGTACTGAGGATTGAACTCAGGGCCTTTTGCATGCTAGGCAAGCACTCTACCACTGAGCTATATCCCCAACCCTGTCATAGCATTAGGAGAAGCTAATGCTCAGTACCCCATCTGCAACACGAGGCTCTACTTTGTATAATTGAAAACATTCAAGAGAACAGTGGCTAGTATGGAAGATTTCCCTCTCCCACCTGGTACCTGGGAATAGCTATTCAGGGCAGTAGGGACCTGGTGCCTCCTATCTGCTCTTTTGTTCTTAGTGTGATGCTAGTGTCTAAGATGGAACCTCTTGGCAGCACCGAAAGGAAAGGGTAAGCAAGGAGGAGGCACTTGCCCCAATTCAGCCTTTTGAAGGAGCCTTCCAGAGTCCCATAGCCTCCTTCCTTGAAGCCCAGAACTTGGTACCATGGTGAGCTGCATATGTCCATCCTGTTTGCCTCCTGCATAAAGCCCATCCAATAACTGAAAATAAGGGGTGGATACCAGCTAGAGCCATTGTGGGATCCATGGCGAGTTGCCTTTTGGAGGGTGCAGGGAAGTGGGAGCCTCCTCCAGGCTGCTGGCCTGTCTTGCTGCTTAGGGGAACTCTGTATGGGCAGAGCTGGAGAACAGGTGTGACTGTGTTCATGTCTATATCCTCTTCTTTGAGAACCTGTGGTGCTGAATGATGCATTTTCTTCTGAGGACATTTCCTCTGCCCATCAGGAGTAATTTAAAAACCATACCTGTCACTTTGTTTAGATTTTTTATTTTGAAAATTACAAAAACAGCACTATATTCCTCTGTGCTCTCTGTCAGTTCCCCCCAGGTTTTGTATCATACATGACCAATGCAGGAAATCTGCCTAAGCCTTCTTGGAAATGCTACCTAGTGTTATTCCTGTGTGCACAGGTTATAGTCTGAAGAGTGTCTGGACCCCCTTCCTAAGTTCTGCCTTCTCTCATTTTCCAGTGTTTTCACGAGGGCTGAAGAAGTCATCCCAGGAGCTATATGGCCTCATCTGCTATGGTGAACTGCGCAAGAAGATTGGGGGTTGTGAGTACCCTGCCTGTCCTCAGACTCCCCTTGTCCTTGTTGCCACTGACCCTTCATGGCCAGGATCACTTACTTTCCCTTCTGACTTTTATTTTGAAAATATTTTAATGACAGAAAAATTGATAAAGCATATGATGGGCATGCCTTCCCTTAGGTTTACCAGTGGTTAATGTTGTTCCCATTTGTTTACTCTCTACACACACATGTTCACACACACACATGTTCACACATATGTCACTTTTTTCTTGCTTTGCTATTTAACTGTAAGACTACCTAGAAACTGCACCCTAGACTGCAGCCTGCATCACCCAAGAACATAGACACACTACTGAACCACATCCCATGGTCTCACTGAAACATTTCACACCTGTCAAGCAGGTGCAGCAATCTGCCCAAATTCTTACCCATTTTCAGATTTCTCAGAATGTTCCCAGACATCAGGGCTCCTATTGAAAGCTGTTGCCCCACATGTGACTCTGGTATCTCCCTGAGTCACTTGGACCAAAAATCATGCTGGTTTTCAATCTTTGATGGTGTTGGTATTTTTGAAAAGCCTGGGACTTCTTTTACTTGCTATTTGCTGTCATGGTTTCCCAGTGACTAGATTTCCTCTAGAACAACGCTGCATGGCTGCTTGATAGGGATGCTCTCGACTTTGCAGGGCATCTGTCCCCTATGCACTTTAGCCCTGCCTGTGTTTCCTCTGTGCCCCTAGGCCTCTCTGATCCAGTGGACATTGTAGGGTCATCTAATGTGTCACAGCCTGAGGTCGGCTGTAGCACTGGATAGGACAGCTATTTGCTGGCTCCTCCTTGTGTCTTTGGCCATAACCTGAACACTCACTCATCATTGTCTGGCCTGGTAGCTTCTGTGGGCCAGCCTAGTCTTTGTGTTTAGGAGGTGCCATGCTCCCCTGTGATACCCTTGCATGTTTTCTCCGTCTTCCGTCCTTTGTCACTCTCAACCCTCCACTGCTGTTCTGTGTGTTCTGAGGTGAAGACCTGGGCCCTGGCTCACAGGTCCCACTCTTTGCAGTCACCTGCCTTCAGGCACCAGACCCTCTGCCTCCAGACTGTCTGTGACTTTCATGCCCTGGTTGCATGTGCTGATATTCCCCTTCTTCTGAATCTCAGTTCCCCTGTGGCTATGCTCACCCAGCCCTGCAGCTTCAGGCCATCCATACATTGAGCAGTCCTGTCACCCTTTGCCCTGATAGGATCAGAATGAACACCTGCTCCCTTCCGAGCCCCACCTTGGGGCCACTTGTACTCACCATAGTTGATAGCACCAGCACAGAGGCAGCTACTGAAGATGATGCCTTGGGCTGCCCTCACCTACCCTTCTACCTGCTCCTCTGCCACCTGAGTGGGTCTGCTCTTCCCATCTTGTCTTCACTGTGGACCTGCCATGTACTCCCTGATGACCTTATTCCTGTTTGTTCTCCCTCTTTGTCTTTCTCTCCTAGAAGCTAGAGGACTTATTTCCCAACCCTTTGACCTCCCACTTTGCATGGTTGGCACCCTTGACTGTGGCCTGAGCCACAGCCTGTGTCTCTGCCTCCCTCTAATCTGTTTTTTTCTACTCTGTCCTCACTTTTTCTCACCTTGAAAGGCCTCTGGTCCAGACAACACATTGAGCACCAACCCTTCTTGAGTAGGGTGCTTTGACCTTCTTTGGGCCCTCTACCTGAGTCTCTGGACATATTATCTTATATGTTCCTGCTCTGTGACCTTGAATGGTTTTTTATTGCCCACAGTAACAATGGCTTCCCTGACCAAAGGCCTCTTTACTGAAACATGAGACTCATCTTCCTAGTTATACCCATTCCTTTGACAGGAGGCAGCTTGGTCAGAGTGGGGTTCTCCTTTCCCCTGTGGCTCAGCTTGTGCTTATTCCAGTTCTGCTAGGTTTGCTGGTTGGCCCCTCCCAATCCAGCTGTACCTCACACTCAAACATATATTCACATACTTGCAGACATCTGGAGCCCAGATGGGGCTCTCGGCATGTGGCTCTGTCAAGAGTTCTTCATGTTATGGGGTTATATCCCTCCAGACCTCTCTGAACGCCCCCAGTACTACTCAATCAACTTCTCATATCTGGGCTCCTAGACCTCATCCCTTTTTTTTTTCTTTTTTTTTGTTTTGGTTTTTCTCCGGTACCGGGAACCGAACTCACGACCTTGCGCTTGCCAGGCAGGTGCTTTTGCCGCTGAGCTAAATCCCCAGCCCCCCTCATCTCTTTGTTGTGTTCTTTTGTGTGTCTTTTTTGTAATGTGCACTCAATACCTGCTAGCATTTCTCTGAGGCTTATGCATGAGCTGTTTTCTCTGGGCCATTTGGAAAATCTGTTTGAAAGCTGGTGGTTAGAGCAAGATTTTCCTTGACATGGCTTGTTCTGCTTGGAGTCTCCAGACAAATGTGTCCTAGCAAGGCTGACTTGAGTCTGCCCTATCCTGTGCTACCTGCTGACTATGTCAAGTGCCAGTTGCAAAAGGACTTGAAGGGTGTTCAGGATTGAAGGAAATGAGTGATGTGCTCAGAGCCCTCATGAAACAAGTGTTAGTCTCTTACTGCTTTGCCCTGGAATGGAGTAGCTTGGCATAGCTGCTAGATGTCATGCCTTGCGTGACAGTGCCATGGCTGGCTCTCCGGTCCTCACTATATTGAACAGACAGGTCTTGTGCAAAGTCCCCTTGCTTGGTGCTGGGATGGGGCCTCTTAGGTGCTGGGTTGGTGGCACTGGTATCCTCTCTTCGGAGATCACTTGACCAGGGCTGGGTCTACGATGAATAGCCTCCCCTCCCAGTCCTAGGAAAAAGGGCAGAAAGTCCCATGATGTCTGCCAGAGCCTGTGTGATCCAGTTCAGTCACCTCCTCTCAGGCTTTATCTTCAGGCCTTTTTCTGTGTAGAAACAGGACTGTGGGGTCTTTTGCCTGCCCTGTTGTCCCTTTTCACTGATCTGTCACCTCCTTCAGATCTTAACTCCAGTGTCCCTGAGTCCCCAGCCAGGTTGGGCTTCCTGGTCTTAAAGTCTTGTCCAGAGGAAGGGTGGCTGATTAGCTCCTGTGAGGGCACCAGAGCATCTGCTTCCTTTTATGTGAAAGTATGTACATTTGCCCTTTCCAGTGCTCTGCTTTCTTTTCTGAAGTACTATTTCTATCTGGGATCCTTTTCCTTTGATTGAAAAACTTACCTCATTTCTTTTCACACATTTGTACCAGCCATGAATTCTTTTAGTTATCATTTACCTGGAAAACATTTGTTTATCTTCATGCTTAAATTTTTGGTGGATACAGAATTCTAATTTAACAGGTTTCTTTAAATTGCATTAAAGTTGCTGTCCAGTATCTTTGGCCTGTACTATTTCTGATGAGAGATTAGTGGTCATCTGGATTCTCATTCCTTTGTGTGCGTTCAATCTGGCTGGTTGGTTTTATGATTTCATCTTTGTTTCTGGCTTTGTGTTTTTGGTCTCCATACCCCCAAAATGCAGAAGAGTTCAAGGAACTGAAGGAATTTTGCAGTAAGCAACCAAGCTCAACTGGCTTCTCTCTTTCTCTTTCTCTTTCCTTTCTTTTTCTTTTCCCACTAACCTCTTACTACCTTACTTTCCCACACATTTTCCTTGGCAGCAGTGAGGTCAGAAGTGGGGCTTTTGCTCTAACGAACAGTGAGTGTGTCAGACTCATTGTTCTGCAGACTCTGGGGTTGTATGGATTCCAACCTATATACACCTGAGGATCCACTTGTGGACACCATTGGATGTGGAGCCCAGCAGGGAAATTGTGCACAGGCCTGGCGTGATGCCTAGAGAGCAATCATCAAAACCAGCATTCCAGACCAAATAGCAACTTAGTAGTAGCAGGGGGTTGGGGAGAACTTCTGGGAGAAGTCTGCAGATTGATCTTTGAGAGAGTGGCTAAAGGGAGGTCTTCAGGCAGGCTGAGATGTGTGGGTTAGTGGAGTTCCTCTTGGGTAGGTAACTGTTTAAATGACCTTGGGGAAAAGGCTGTAGCTACCGTAGAGATTTCATTCTGGAAGACCTCAAATATTCAATGGCAGGATTTGAAGTCTCTATGGAAGATGACTTTATGAAATCAAATAGTTTTGCTCCTAACTACCCCATGACCTCATTTGTGTATCTTCCATTTAAAGGTATGGATGACAAGAATGCAACGAAGTTGAATGAGCTCATTCAAGTTGGGTAAGTACTAGTATTATTGTGAGGTTGTGTTTGTTCCTTTTGGACACTCAGATTCATTCACTGAAATTCAGAAGTTAAAAAAGTGTGCAGCTTTCTTGTTTTCTCGATGAGGACCCTCAGAATTCAAACTTACTGTCCTCTCAGGTGCCCATTTTGCTCCCACAGAAGGTGTTTGGTCCAGTTGCGGAAGTGGCCCCAGTCTTGCTTCCTCCTTCCCTTATCTGTGTTTTTGCATGTGGTGGTTCCCTGGCTTCTAGAAAGCCTCTCCTTCCCATTGTTTTTCCTTTGGGTTTCTGAGCCACTTCTAAGACTTTCCCAGCCTCTCTTGCCCACTGATACTCCTGCCCCAGAACCCATGCTCAGTCTGGCTTTCTGTTCCTCCTCCTCATGCTCCTCTACTCTGTAGCTTCAGCTGCCAGGCCCCTGCTTGTTCACTTATCACCTGCTCAGCCTCAGTTGCTTTTGACTGTTTCTACTTCAGAGATGCCCCCTTACCAGGACTTGCTGTGTGAAAGATCGTCCACTTGGCCCCTCACCAAGTGTCTCCTGTGCATTGTTATGCACTGCTGTCCTAGACTGTGCATTTGCCTTTTAAGTCTCCCTTGTTCTGACAGTCTCCTGAGTTGGTCCCCAGGGCAGTGAGTTGTTGGCACCCTGAGCTTCTTTCCAATTCTGTAACCACCATAGTTCACTCTGAGGTCACCTCAGAGGTGTTTCAGATCTTCCCGTCTCTGCGGCCTCTTTCTGGCTAGTCAACTCCTCCTGGGGCCTCTGTCACTTTTCCTGGGTGAAGGACTCCAGACGTACTCATCCCTTATGTCTGCGTCTTACTTGCAAGTCTCACAACCTAGGAGCTTCCACTTTTGCACCCTCTGTAAACCTTATTCTGCCACCTTGCCTGGTTGGAAGGTTGAAAGTTTTGCAGATGGATGGCCTGAGCCATTCTGGCCATGCCTCCCACTTCAGGCCTCTCAAAACTTGCCTTGTTCAGGCCAAGAGACTACTCTGTAAGATACAGCCCAGCCATACAGTCCTGAATTCTACATGTGTGGGGTACTAACCTAGTATAGTGCCCCCTCAGTGGTGGCTGCCATGTCCCTCAGGCATCTTCCAACACTCATCCCACCAGGTCTCTCTCCCTGTTTCTTGAACCCTAGGTGTGTGGTCAGAATCTTTTGAGCTGTCATGGATGTACGGGCCATTCTGTCTGCAGAACATTGCCTTGCCACACCTCTGGGCACTGCAGCATCTCCCACAGGCTTAGAATCTGACTTCCAGGAACCATGTGCCTTGGGGCGAGTGGCTAGGGTCTAGCTCTACGCCTGTCCCAGCATTGGGTTCCTAAGGCTTTATTTGCACAAACTGCCCTGTTGGGAGTCATGCCTGGCAGGAACTAGGTTATAGCATTGCTATATAAAAGAGCCATGACTAGACACCTTGACAAGTAGCTTGAAAAATGAATGGAGGATCCCAGAGTAGAACTGGTCTCAGAAATAGAGATCATCAGGATGTGGGGATGGTAGCCATGCTTGTAGGGGATTATCTGGTGGGATTTCTCTGCCCCTTTCCCCCACCTTGGCTCAGAGCCCACCTTTCTCCTTCATTCCTTCTCCTGCCAAGCTGAACAGTGTTTGCACATCTGACGAATCTTCTCCAGAGGGTGGAAGCTCTCAGGCTGAGACCTGATGTTACCTTCTCACTAGCAAGCTATGGTGCAGTTTGCTGGTGAATCTTGACCTTTTATCTCAGAATTCATGGAATGAAGCCAGTGTTCCAGGCTCTTTGTCTCCAGCACTAGGCATGAGCAGCATTTGTAGAAAGCCAGGGTGAGGACTGGGGCAGGTGGGGTACCTTTCCCACTATGCAGACATCTGCCATACAATCTCTAGGAGGACTTCGCAAGCAACAGGCTCTTTCCTACCATGGGTAGGTGATCACATCACACCAAGCAGCTCTTTCTAGAGTCAGAGACTGAATATACTTGACAAGCAAATGCAAGGAGCATGCCTTGGTTAGATCCTGGATCTTTAGCAAAAAGAAAAGGGAAGGAAGAAACGGTTATAAGGATATATGACAGAGACAAGTGGGAAGGTAGATTTTTGGACTATATACTAGATGATGGTGTGGTCTCAGCATTGTTGCTCCCAGATGAGACTTGGGCTGAGATACTTAGGAGTAAAGTATTTGGTGTTTCGGTATCTGCAGGAGGCTCAGTTCAGTGAAGGGTAAGGAGCAGACTTTGCATGTGCAGTGACCCTGAGTTTCTATGCCGGTGATGCTGGACTAGGCTTGTACTCACAGACAACAGATTGATGGACAACAGCATTGAAATGTGCTTTGAGTCAGGCATCCCTTCAGTGCTGTCTACTGATAGAGACCCTCTCGATGAGAATCAAGTGGGAAATGATGGCAGTGGAGCTTGGGATTTGCCCTAGATCCTCTAGGCCTCAAGTGGCTGAGTTACTGGTCAAGTGACAGCCCTAGCTTCGTTTTGGTCACCATGGTTGGCTGTGCTCCCCACAGTGCAGTGACATAAAGGGTAGCCCTAGAAGGTAGTACATTCACAGAGTAGAGCGATTAAGTGCCCTTTTTTTAAATGAGGTCAGTATTAGTGAGGATCACCTGATCAAGCTATAGGACCTGTCTGAAAAAGACTGAGAAGGTAGCCCTTATTTTTTTAAGAGCCTTAGGTGCAACTAGGAACTTGGTAATATAAGGAAGTTCGCAGCAAGTGGCAGGAAAAGTCAGCACTGATTCCTGGCCATGTTGAAAGCTTGGTGAGCGCTGGGAAATGTGTCATTTGCCACTAAGGAATCTGTCAGTACTTTCTCCTTTTACTTAGGGGCCTCACCTGGCACTCTAGGTTCTGATAACATACTTTACCATTGCTGTCCCTCAGAAAGGTACTGATGGCACAATCCAAAATGCCACAGTCCATGGAGAGAGTTCTGCCTGCAACTATAGGGGGACAGAGACAGAAAGCCTTTATAGTGTGTTCTTCTGTCCTGAAGTATCTGAGTGCTGAGCATAAGGATGGGTGCTGGCTATGCAGCAGAGGTGATTATAGCATGACAGTAAGTAAAAGTCTGACCTTCTGGGGGTAGGCATCTTACCTTGCATTCCCAGATGGTGGTGTTTAGGTTAAGGGCTCAAGAAAGTGTAAAGAAGGAGGAACCTGAGGGGATACATGAGGTGCAGAGCCTAGGCTGGAGGGTCAGCAGGCTCCCCTCTGCAGTGCTTCAGTGGTCTCCATGGTGCCTCAGCAAATTACTGAGGAAGTGAAGTGGGAGAAGTTTGTGCTGGGTGAAATTGTTTCTGGCTTTCTGTGGTGAATAGGTTTGGGAGTGTGTTAGAAGGGTTGTGTATAGATACTCATTGTCTTAATACTTTAACATATATTTTTCACTATTTGGTAGAGAGTATAGTATTCAATACACCCCCCTACTCCAACGTTTCCCTTGTCATTATCATCTTGCATTAGTATGGTTACAGCTTGTGCAGCCCAACTGATACATTGCCATCACCCAGATAGACATTAGGGCTCCCTCCTCATGTTGGACATGCTAGAAGTTTGGACAGATGTGTGACACGTTTCCACCATTAAAAGTTTCTTCCAGAGTACTTTCTTTGCCCTAAAAAACCCCTGTATTCTGTCTGTTCATCCCTACCTCTTCCCAACCCTCAATAACCCCTGATATTTTATTGTGTCCATCATATTGGCCTCTTCTACTTATGGCACAGCTTTGCGTTTAATAAGTGCATGGAGTCTTAGAGATACTATCACAGTCAGTACACAGAGCAGAACTGTGTGTGGTGGTGCATGACTGTAATTCCAGCACTGAGGGAGGTTGAAGCACGAGGATTGCAAGTTCAATTCTGACCTGGCCAACTTAATGAGACCTTGTCTCAAAACTATAATGGCTGGGAATGTAGCTTAGTGGTAGAACACCTATTACATTTTAGATTTAGGATGCTGTCTTATTTTTTCTCGTTGCTAAGACAAAATACCTAACACTCAAAGTTAAAGGAGGAAAGGTTTATTTCAACTTAGTTTCTACAAGTTTTAGTCTATAGTTGATTGGCTCCAAGGCAGGGTTACATGGCAGGAGAGCATTCCAGAGGAGAAAACAGTCCATGGTGTGGCAGGCCAGGCAAAGGGAGCAAGCAGCAACCAATGGCAGCTGCAGTGGCAGCAGAACCAGCAGTGACAGCAGAAGAAGTAGTAACAATAGACCTGCCTCTCTTTTTTATTCCATCCAGCCTTTCGGGTGGTGCCACCCACACCCAAGAGAGGGCACCCTTAATCCCAGCATCACACACTCTAGATCCAGCCACCTCCATAAAGTACCACCTATGACTGCCTGAGGCTTTGGGAGGACAACTAGATAATAAGCCATAACAAATGCCCCTTATGGGGGGGACCTTGGGATGTGATTGGATCGTGGGGTGCTGTACTCTTGCGTGGATTGATGGATTGATGAATTTATAGCTAAAGTGCTGTTAGGAGGTGGTGCCTAGTTGGAAGAGGTGTCTCACTGGAGTGTGCCTTTGGAGGGTGTATCTCCCTCCCCTGCTCCTCTCTTATCTCTGTTTCCTGCTTTTCATGAGATAAGCAGCTTTGCTCTGCAGTGCCTTTCCACGATTCTATTTTTGCCTTGGAGCCAGTCAGTTATGGACTAAATCCCCTGAACTGTGAGCCAAATTAAACATTTTCCTCTTTTAAGTTATGGGTGTCAGATATTTGTCCCAGTGATGGGAAAGTAACTAGTACAGTGCCTCTAGGCACAGAACAGTTACAGCACCCCACAGCCAGCCCCAGGCCACTCTGTTGCTGCCTTCCATATTCTGTAGTTTGTCTTTTCCAGAAAGCTATTTGAATGGAACCATTACTTACCCTCTGAGGTTAGCTTCACCCACCAAGCCACTTGCACTTGAGGTTCTCAGGTGCTGTCCATAGAACCACAGTGCATTACTGTCTCATGACAAGTGGGGTTTCATGG